ATAGCGCATATCCATGCTCAAGAGCATGCTCTGTGCGGGTTACAACTATTATTACCCCAGCAGACCCTCTGAGAACACTCAGAAACTTTACTGACTTCCGAGGAAGCATACAGTACAAGCTGCGGATTCCACGCGCTTAAACACTATCAAACTGACAAGATCGTTCACTGTCTATAGCTGGGTACCCATTTCCACCTGGGTGAAGTGAGGAAAATTTGTGAAAGTGCCGGGACTCGAACCCAGGACCTTACGGTTGTGAGTCCGATGGCCTAATCACAAGGCCACCGACGCCACATGCCATAACAGACTTTAGGCTCCCTTACGAAAATGAAGTTTATCCACCCAAGCCGCTTCAAGAAAATCCGTTTTTTTTGTCTCTCCTGTAAAATTGGAAAAACATGACTTACAATAGTTTACTTGGCTGCCCTCGAAATGTATAAACTGTACAAATTTCACCCACAGATTCGACGTATCTATTTCCACAGGTATAAAACCCGAGAAGTTACTCTAGTCAACTATTCAGTAGCATGCAGTGACAACGGAGTTACAAAAAGGTCCTATTCTGCACTCGTCCATTCACACAACAAGCGAGAACATAACTATTACATTATTGTTACACGTTTATACCGCTCTGAAGTTACTTCACGTTTCAAATGCTAAGGGGGGCGGGGGGCGGGGGTGCTCTCGTGGCCTAGAGGTTAAGGTGTTGGCCTCTCATTCAAAAGGTCCCGGGTTCGCATCCCGGTAGCGACCGAAAAATTTTATTCTCTAAATTAGTCTCCTTTCACCTCATTTCCTGCTCTCTAGCAATGTTCTGTCGTCTGCTTTCGTCTCTTCTTTCTGCCCCCACCCCTTCACCTCCTTTGCCCCTTCCTCTGGGCTCCTGATTCTTTTTGCAGCCTTTCTACTGCTACTCCTTCGCTTCTTCTTACTGCCGTCTTTCAGCCACACCCCTGATCTTCTGGTAGGAAAGATCTACACCTAGCCTTCTCGGACAAGGCCGAAAAATCTCGAAGGACCCGTGTGCAAGTTGCGCACGTTAAAGATCCCTTGGTGGTCTAAAATCGATAAGAGTAGGCTTCGGCCGCCACCCGGGCAAAATTCAAAATTTCCTA